GAATCATTACTTACATTAGGGAAACTATTCGGTATTCATACATGCGAGATTGATTTATTTCACTTATGAGTATGGTCTCAAGCTGCTCCCATTTATTGATAAATATCTCAATGCAATCCTTCTTTATAGCTGAATAATACTCCATTGTATAGAAATACCACAACTTTTTTATCCATTCCTCAGTTGATGGACACTTGGGTTGTTTCCAAGATCTGGCGATTACAAATTGTGTTGCTATAAACATAGGTGCACATATATCCCTGTGGTATGATGCTTTCAGTTCTTCTGGGAATATGCCTAGAAGTGGAATAGCTGGAATAAATGGGATTTCCAATCCCAACTTTTTGAGAAACCTCCAGACAGACCTCCCCAAAGGCTGTACCAGTCTACACTCCCACCAACAGTGCAGGAGAGTTCCTTTTTCCCCACAGCCTCTCCAGCATTTGTTGTTGTTGGTTTTCTTGATCCTGGCCATTCTTTCAGGAGTGAGATGGTATCTCAGTGTGGTTTTAATTTGCATTTCTCTAATGACCAATGATGATGAGCATTTTTTCATGTATTTATTTGCCATTTGCATTTCTTCATCTGAGAATTGCGTATTCATCTCAGATGCCCATTTTTGGATTGGATCTTTGAATTTTGGAGGTCTGAGTTTTTTTAATTCTTTATATGTTTTAGACAAGAGTCCCTTGTCTGAGAGAGAGTTCACTAAAATCTTTTCCCAGTTTGTGGGTTTTCTTTTCACTATGCTGGAGATTTCTTTTGACATGCAGGAACTTTTTAATAAGAAGTGGTCCCAGTTATTGATTCTGGGAAGTATTTCCCGTGCAGTTTGAGTCCTATTCATGAATTCTCTACCCACGCCTATGTCTCCAAGGTTTCTACCCAATTTGTCTTCCAATAGATTTAGCGTTTTTGTTTTAATATTCAGATCTTTGACCCATTTAGATTTTAATTTAGTACATGGTGATAGACATGGGTCTAGCTTTAGTTTTCAGCAAATGGAGAGCCAGTTTTTCCAGCACCATTTATTAAAGAGACTGTTGTTCTTCCAGTGAACCTGCTTGGCTCCTTTATCAAAGATAAGGTGGTTGAGTGTGTTTGTAGTTGTGGTTGTATCTTCTAATCTATTCCATTGATCTTCAGCTCTGTTTTGATTCCAATACCATGTTGATTTTACTACTGTTGCTTTGTAGTATAATTTCAAGTCAGGGATTGTGATGCCTCCTGCTTTGTCTTTGCTGCTTAGAATTGCTTTTGCGATTCTAGGTCTCTTCTGGTTCCAGATGAAATTTAGGAGTGATTTCTCTAGATCCATAAGGTATGTTGATGGTATTTCTATTGGGATTGCATTGAATCTGTATAAGAGTTTTCGGAGAATGGCCATCTTCACAATGTTTGTTCTTCCTATCCATGAGCAAGGGATGTCTTTCCATTTTCTGAGATCATCTTCAATTTCCTTTTTCAGTGTAATATAGTTTTCACTGTATAAGTCTTTCACTTCTTTCGTAAGAGTAATTCCTAAATATTTCATTTTTTTGCTTGCTAATGTGAATAGTTCAGTTTCCCTTATTTCTCTCTCTGTGGTTTTGTTGTTCGTGTATAGGAATGCTATTGATTTCTGAGTATTGATTTTGTATCCAGCCACATTACTGAATTTATTTATTGTATCTAAGAGTCTTTCAATGGAGCTTAGGGTGTCTTCTATGTAGAGTATCATGTCATCTGCAAACAATGACAACTTAACTTCTTCTTTTCCTATCTTTACCCCTTTTATTTCTCTTTCTTGCCTAATTGCTCTGGCTAGTACTTCCAGTACTATATTAAATAGGAGTGGTGATAAAGGACATCCTTGTCTTGTGCCTGATTTTAAAGTAAAGGCTTTCAATTTTTGGCCATTTAGTATGATGCTGGCTGTTGGTTTGTCATAAATGGCCTGTATTATATTGAGGTAAAGACCATCTATTCCAATTTTCTGTAGAGTTTTTATCATGAATAAATGTTGGACCTTATCGAAGGCTTTTTCTGCATCTATAGAAATGATCATGTGATTCTTATTTTTGGCTTTATTGATATGGTGGATTACATTTATTGATTTGCGTATGTTGAACCATCCTTGCATTCCTGGGATGAATCCCACCTGGTCATGGTGTATAATCTTCTTGATGATTTGCTGGATCCTATTTGCCAATATTTTATTGAGGATTTTTGCATCTGTGTTCATTAGTGAGATCGGTCTATAGTTCTCTTTTTTAGTTGGGTCTTTCTCAGGTCTTGGTACTAGAGTGATATTTGCTTCCAGGAATGACTTAGGAAGGATTGCTTCCCTTTCAATTTCATTGAATAGTTTGAGGAGTGTCGGCATTAGGTCTTCTTTGTATTTCTTATAGAATTCTGCAGTGAATCCATCTGGGCCTGGGCTCTTCTTGGTGGGTAAGGACTTAATTACATTTTCAATTTCAGTAACCGAGATTGGGTTATTCAACAATTTTATATCCTCTTGATCTAGCTTTGGCACTTCATATGCTTCTAAGAAACTGTCTATTTCTTCTGTGTTATCAAACTTTTGAGAGTAGAGGTTTTCGAAATAGGTGTTGATGATCTTCTGTATTTCTATTGGGTCTGTAGTGACTTCTCCTTTTTCATTTCTTATTGCATGACTTTGAGCTTTTTCTTCCCTTTTTTTAATAAGGTTGGCTAGGGGCTTATCGATTTTATTTATTCTTTCAAAGAACCAACTCTTTGATTTGTTGATCTTTTGGATTGTTTTCTTAGTCTCTATTGCATTGATTTCTCCTCTGATTTTTATAATTTCTTCTCTTCTTTTGGCTTTGGGCTTGACTTGCTCTTCTTTTTCTAGCTGTTTGAGGTGTAGCATCAAGTTATTTATTTGTATTTGTTCTGTTTTCCTGATGTGGGAACTCAGTGCAATAAATTTTCCTCTCAGGACGGCTTTCATTGCATCCCACAGATTCCGGTAAGTTGTATCTGCATTTTCATTTTCTTTTAGGTATTGTTTGATTTCTTCTTTAATTTCTTCTGTGACCCACTGATTACTCAAGAGTGTGTTATTCAGTTTCCATGTGTTTGTGGGATTTTTGCAGTATCTTTTATCGTTAATTTCTAATTTCAGGTCGCTGTGATCCGATAACATGCAAGGGATGATTTCAGCTCTTTTCCACTTGTTTAAATATGTTCTATGAGCTAATATATGGTCTATTTTCGAAAATGATCCATGTACTGCTGAGAAGAATGTGTATTCTGATGTTGTTGGGTGGAACATTCTGTATATGTCTATCAAACCCATTTGTTCACAGGTATGATTCAGTTCTGTTATTTCTTTACTCATTTTCTGTCTGGTCGATCTGTCCCTTGGTGTGAATGGCGTATTAAGGTCTCCTGTTACAATTGTGTTACTGATAATTTGAGTTTTCATTTCTGTTAATAATTGTTTTATATAACTGGGCGCTCTGGAGTTTGTTGCGTATATATTTAAGATAGTTATCTCTTCCTCTTGGAGTTTTCCCCTTACGAGTATGTAGTGACCTTCTTTATCCTTTATGGTCATTGTTGGTTTAAAGTTCACGTTGTCTGCAAACAGAATGGCTACTCCTGCCTTTTTTTGGATTCCTGATGCATGAAGAATTGTTTTCCATCCTTTGACTTTCAGTCTGTGAGTATCCTTCTGGGTTAGATGGGTTTCCTGTAAACAGCATATGGTTGGATTTTGTTTCTTGATCCATTCTGCTAGTCTGTTTCTTTTGATTGGTGCATTGAGACCATTTACATTAATGGTAATTACTGTTAAATGTTGGTTAATTGTAGGATTCTTATCTCTCTGCTGTTGCATCTTTATCTTTCTGTTCTGTTTAATTATTTGCTTTGCTTAGTGGTTTTTTCCTTTGTGTATCTAAACTGTCTTTCAATATTTTTTGCAGGGTTGGTTTGGTGTTCAGGAAGTTCTTCAGCTGTTCTTTGTCATGGAAGTATCGTATTGCACCATCTATTTTGAATGATAGTTTTGCAGGATATATCAGTCTCGGTTGGGAATCGTTTTGCTTTAGGATCTGGAATACTTCACTCCATGCTCTTCTTGACTTTATCGTTTGTGCTGAGAAGTCTGCTGTGATTCTGATAGGTTTTCCTTTATAAGTGATCTGTCTTTTCTCTCTGACAGCTTTTAATAATCTATTCTTGTGTTGGATTTCTGGGATGGTGATTATTATATGTCTGGGTGTAGTTTTATTTTGGTTATGACTATTTGGAGTTCTATATGCTTCACTGATCCTGATGTCAGTTTCTGATCTCATGCTTGGGAAGTTTTCAGCTATTGCTTCTCTAAATATCCTCTTGATATCCTTTATGTTGTCTTCTTCTTTTTCATTAATCCCTATCATTCTTATGTTATTCTTCTTTGCATCATCTTGCAGTTGTTGAATTGTTGTTTCCTGATTCCTTGTTATTTTTAAAAGATCTTTCCTTTCCTGTTCACTAGCTGCAATCCTGTCTTCAAGGTCTGAAATGCTATCTTCACTTTCATTAAGGCGGTTTTTACAACTTTCAGTGGAGTTTTTTATTTCCTGTATATCTCTGTGCATCTGCATTATGTATTCTGTTTGTTTCTTATATTGCTCATCCAGGGATTCTATCTTTTTGTTTAGTTCCTCCAATTTTTTATCTGTGTTTTCTTTAGATATATTTAGACTCTCTTTCATTTCTTTTATCATTTCTTCTTTTATCTGGGATATTATTTCGCGTTTGAATTTCTTTAAAGCTTCCTGGAGTTGCTTGTCAACTTCAGTAGCTATTGTGTCTGATATATGAGGAGGATGGAATATATTTTCTTCTAAATACATTTCTCCTAGGGTTTCCTGAGATGGGCTGGAGGTTTGAGGTTGTAATTTGGTCTTTCGTTTTGTCATTTTCCTATATTTCTGTGTTTCAAGTGTTATTTGAAAGCCTCCTCAGGATCTGTTGAAAATCCCCTTCTATGTTTGCAGCTACTGAGACTCTGGCACCACTCTGCCCCAGGCCATTGGGCCTGTAGAACCAATGGCCCTCCTCTGCCCGTTCAGAACCCCGCGGTTCCAGACAAGCTGGGCCCCAGGGACACTGCGCGCCCACCTGCCCCCCGGTAGATCCACAGCTCCTGGATCCCAGTCGGGCCAGGGTACTCACCACAGACCGCCGTGCCTCAGGAGCCCATGATCCCTCCCTGCCCGCAGAGACGTCCACAGTCCTCCAGACAAAGGAAGCGCCTCCTGTGGGCACTCCGGATCCACCCAGCTCCTCCTCTGCACACAGATGGCTATGCGCGGCTGGGCACAGGCTGAGGTGCCTCAGGAACTTGGGATCTCTCCTCCTCCAGACAAAGGAAGGGGCCTCTGCAGGCACTCCGGATCCGCACAGCTCCCCCTCTGGACACCGACGGCTAGGCGCGGCCGGGCACAGGCCGAGGTGCCTCAGGAACCTGGGATCCCCCCTCCCCCAGACAAAGGAAGGGGCTTCTGCAGGTGCTCCGGATCCGCGCAGCTCCTCCCCTGCACACCGTTGGCTAGGCGCGGCTGGGCACAGGCCAAGGTGCCCCAGGAACCCGAGATCCCTACTCCTCCAGACAAAGGAAGGGGCCTCCGCAGGCGCTCCGGATCCGCACAGCTCCTCCTCTGCACACCGACGGCTAGGCGCGGCTGGGCACAGGCCGAGGTGCCCCAGGAACCCGGGATCCCTCCTCCTCCAGACAAATGAAGGGACCTCCGCAGGCGCTCCGGATCCGCGCAACTCCTCCCCTGCACACCATTGGCTAGGCGCGGCTGGGCACAGGCCGAGGTGCCCCAGGAACCCGAGATCCCTCCTCCTCCAGACAAAGGAAGGGGCCTCTGCAGGTGCTCCGGATCCGCGCAGCTCCTCCTCTGCACACTGATTTAAACCACGGGTTCTACATCAGGTTTGATTATTAACTGCTTTCACATCCTACAACGTCTTCAAATTGTGTTTTTATAAAAATAGCTATATAATGTTATGCTTAATTGTATAGTCCCTGGTGATGTGGACAATTCTATTGAAAATAACAAGAGAAAGCATAGTAAGTACTTTATATCACCTAATATTGTGGTCTTATATGTCTCGTTCATATCATGATTTTGTAGGAATTTGTTTTGTTGTCTTATTTTGATCTGTTTTCCCCCATAACACAGAAAGGATAGATATACACATAGAGATTCACACATTGGAAGAATTTCTCACCTATTTATTTGAACAAATAATATAATGCATAATGTAATGAACAGATACTCTGAAGAAGAAATGACACTAAGAAACCCAAAGCTAATTCTGTAGCATTATGGTATAAAATTGAGCAATAGTATTATTCACTGTTCAGAGTGATATTAGTCTAGTCTCTTATTTTTTTGTGAACTGTAATTTTAACATGGCATTGTTTTAATCTTTTGATGCACATGCTTCATTTTCTCTTCCATAAATGATGTTTCTGAAGTTGATGCAATATTTGGCATTAAGATATACATTTGTAGAGGTTGGAGTATGTGTTTTTGACAAAGTTATGTTCATTTCACATAACTTGTACATTAATGAATGTTATGTTTTCCAAGTTGTGACAAGACATCTGCTGATTTCCTTACATCACTGGATATCATACCATGTAAATTATGTTGCCTGATTTTGTTTCTCGGTGGAGCCAATATTTGTCATTTAAGTAAACCTTTGTTTTTCTAACCATCAGAATTTTACTTGTTATGTTGATATTACATCTTTATTTGCTAGTAAGGTTTCCCCACATGTACCAAATGTAAACCATACTACTGTGAATTTCTGATTGTGCCATAGTGACAGAATCATAACTTGTCTCCAATAGCACATCACAATATATATATATATATATATATATATATATATATATAATCTCCAGAAATTATAAAATTTGGCATGATTTATGAGTAACCATACTTTGAAATCAATTTTTCTTAAATATGGAGTTGTTTGGGGGGAAATGTTGTTATTAGATCTATCATGCAAATGCCTTTATTTTATTCCTTGATGCTGTGAATGCATTATATATTTTGTAATTATTACTGTTTTTTCCTAAAATACTGAAGTAATGGCATGAAGGGAAACCTAAATTTTGAGCTGTCAACACAGTAAAAAGTAAATTTGCTAAATTAAGATTCAGATTATGTTCTGTTTTGCTGAATTGTGAATTTATACAATGGCATATCACTTTATTTATCAGGACCAGTGCATGATGTTTGTGGTGTGTACTGATTATCTTTAAACACATACACTGGGCCATGAGTCCCAGCTGGTTTCCTGTGGCCTGTGGTTTTCACTTCCATTTTAACATTCATGTAATTTGTAATATGTTTAATGCTGTGTTGTTGAATACAAAATCTGCTTAGGAATTATGTTGTTAAAAACTGTGGTGTTATGAAAACACAAGTGAACATTGCATTAAATACCCTTAATCCAGTGAAGATATCTTGCCCAAGTCTCAATTATCCTTGGGAAAATAAATTACTTACCTCTTATGTAATCACCACTAAAACTATATCTATATTGTGCCTGAAGAACCTGATATACTTCACAAAGTAAAAGACACTGTGAAGTACATTGTCAGTCTGTATGTACTACAGCATGTGGCCAGATTCCCTGCAGCATATTTCTGATTACCATCAATGGGAATATTTGGAGTTTGTATTACAGCTAATAATAGAATACTGAATCTATAAGAATATATCCTGAGTCTATGCACTTTCTCATTTTACCATGAAAGTAAATCTTGCTCGTCCTGTTGATGCATGCTTGTAATCCTAGCACCTCAGTGCACTTAAATTAGTGGAAGAGGAAGTTGAGTCTAACCTACACAATTAGAGTGACCTCGTCTCAAAATATATCTTCAAGTTCTGCAGATGTAGCTCAGTGCTTTAGATCTCCTCCCTTTCTTCCCCAGCATCAACATTTTTTAATACTCACAATTGCACAACAGTAGTTGTCCTTTTATCGGTTGGCCATATAGCAGTTATTTCGGAGAATCACTTGTGAAACACATTTGTTTTTGCAGTGACCATCCTGAGCATCATTTGGGCACTTGTCAATTTAACCCATTCATTCTTGTATTGAATATAGTAGAATTGTCACTTTTATATTACTTGTTATTTTATAAATACTAATAAAAAGTATGCAATTTTTGATCATTTTCCATTTAAATAATTGCATTGGTAAGGAGTTACCTACAAAGATTAGGCTAAAGATGATTTCTTTAGTTCAAGCATCAGGAGAGAATGAGATGGGATGATAATTGCTTTGAAGCTGACTTTGGGAGGCAATTGCTAGATGGTTTAGCAGAGTGTGAAACAGTTGTTTTTATGCCTGCATTTGAAGTTTAAGGAAACAAGTACGTTGAGGTCAAGAATATAAATGTACGATAGGGTAAATGAATAACTACTGAAAATTTTGATTTTTCTTTATTCAGGAAGTGTACTTTTTTTGGTAATTTGTGCAGCAGTCTCAAATATGCCTCTATTGGAGTAAAACATAGTGAAACATGAAAGAACCAGACATTCCAGGTTCTGAATGTAGAGGTATTAAAAAACATGTTTTTAAATACTATTGCTGCTTTTTTGTGTAGAAAATAGATAGGGTGACAAACAAGCAAAAAGGACTTTGTAAGATTTTAATCCTCGTGCATAAGCATAGATGCCACAAAAAAGTCAAACCAAAATGATGAAGAAATAAACTGTAGAAAGAGAGAAATTTTGCCTATTACTCCTTGACAGCTTACACGTAAAAGCAATAGGAACGTGAAAGGAACACACATTTTTCAGACTATGTACAAATTGCCAAGAAATACTTGAAGAACTATTGAGCATTTTTGCACAATAGACAAATGCAAATGGGGACATCATTTCATTACAGAGAGAACTAATCACCATAAGATCTAAAGAACATTCAGAAGACTACAGGAGAAAAGGAACTATTTAATCTTGTTGGTGGAAATGTATTTAAGTAGTTCAACTACTACTGAAGTCAGTTTTTAAAGTGTACAAAAGACTAAAATTAGTAATTCTCATTAGTGCAGTGCCTCCTTTAGTGGGTGTCTTCCCCAAAGAGTTAAGGACATATTGCAGTGATTCATGCAGATTCCTGTTACTGCAGCAATAGTCATTTTTCTGTGGAGAGCAGCAGCAAGCACTGCTCCATCACCACCAAATACCAATGATGAACAACAAATAATCACTAGTGTACTCCATTTGATAAATGGTGTAATATTTTATTGAGAAGTCGGCTGTGACTTAGGTTTTCCAGTAGACTACAGGTCAGTATAAATATGATTGTGATGCTAATGTCACAAGGCCATCACTAGTACACTATTTTGCTCATTGGATTTGATGTATTTATCTATTTGAGGATGCATGTTGCTATGAAGTTCAGGCTGGCATTGAGATCACATTATAACCCAGAGTGGTCTCAAACAATTCTCCTTCCTTAGTGTCTCAAGTACTGGGCTCCACACAAGAGCCACCAGGCCTAGTTTACATTTGGTATATTACGTGCATATTTAGTATATTTTATTTCAACTGTTTTTGTTGTTAAAGTATTTCCATATTTTACCTCCAGCATTTCTAGAAATTTGGCGTTATTGAGGTGGTGATGTGCATATCCCCAGCCTCATGACATTATCTGCTGTGTTCAGAGCTGTCAGTGTACTGCATTGAAACATAGCTGTACATAACTGTTTCTTTTTCTACTTTCCTTAGAAAACATTTTTAAAATCTCCATGGATAATCACAGGTTCAATAATACTGGCTAGAGTTTCATGCAAATTCTCAAAGTTAAGTACAGTGTAGCACTGAGCCGAAGATACTCTCTGTCATCTGAGAGTCTTTATAGTCCTTTCTGTACACACACTTTGTGCCTGAGCCAGCATCTGTTGTGGGTCCCAAAGTCTGCTGTAAATCTATGGAACACATAGCTTTGTGACCGCCTCTAGACTGGTGTCCTATATGCCACTCTGCTGAGGCAGAGCACAGCTTCTGACAGGAAGCCAGAGGCTCTGAGGCTCTGAACAACACAGGTTTTTCTTTGTGAACACATATAATCTTATATTTCTGTAAGACAGACAGCTCTGTTCCATATTTCTACCCAGGAAGACAGAAGAAGAATCTGGAGACTGTGGATTAAACCGTGGTGCTGCCCTTCTGCTCTGCCAGCCCGGTCTTGGGTGGGAACCTGACAGTGGCCCAGGCTTGCATCCCCCCCGACGTGCACCTGCACATGAGGATCTGCCCTCAGGGCATGTCAGACCCAGTCACACTTGACTTAGGGCAGGAATTGTGTAGGGGGATTCACAGTGGTGGTCAGGCCTTAATGTTACTCTGCTGGACTCAGTGAGTCTGAGTGATTTAAAGACCCAATCCAGAAATGTGCATCTGAGATGAAATATACAGTACTCAGATGAAGAAATAGAAAGAGCAAATAAATATGTGACAAAATGTTCTGCATCACTCGTCATTTTACAATTCAAAATTAAATAACACTGATATGTCACCTTGCCCCAGAAAAAATGCCCACTGTCAAGAAATCAAGCAATAACGCATGCTGGAGGGGTTGTGGGGGAAAAAGGAACCCTTCTCCATTGTTGGTGGTAAAGCAACCACGGTGGAAATCAGTGTGGAGATTCCACACAAACTAGGTCTACAGGTCCCACTCAACTCAGCTATTCTTCTTTTGCGTATCTACCCAAAAGAATAAAAATCATCATACCACAGTGGTATATGTGCACCCACGTTTATAGCAGCACAGTTTGTGGTAGCCAGATCTTGGATGGAATGCATGACCTCTAGCTTGCCACGCAGGCGCTTAAGCTAAATCCCTGGATCACTTTTTTACTTTTTAACTTTCAAATAAAATGGGTTTGGGAGAAAAAACAAGGACTGAGGTAAAGACTTTCAGTGCAAATACCTATCAGAAGAGCTGAGGTCAACATTCCAGAAGACAGCCAGCTCCAGAAGACTTCACCATCTTTTATTGGGGATCCACAGTTACAGGGTGGGTTTTTTTTTCTGTAATTATTCTTTGTGGGGAAGGCAGGCCGGAGAGCAGGAGCCAATCAGTGATGAAGAGGCTGGCTGTAAGAACTGTCCAATCAGGCGGGCCAAGGTAGGCGGTGTCTTCCGGTGTCATGGCGTCAATTGCAAGGCCAGCGCAAAAAAGGGAGCACTAGATGTTTGCTAGACCACTATTTTTTGCTTGTATTCGCTGTGAACTGCTTAAAAAGAACCTGGGAGACCTCCAAACTACACAATGGTGATGTTATGGGATGGGAGCAGTGAAATGGGGTGGAATCTGGTTGAAACCAGTTAGAAGTGGTGAGAAGGGGCCGGGGGATTAGCTCAGCGGCATTAGCGCCTGCCTTGAAAGCATGCAGTCATGAGTTCGATCCCTGGTACTGATAAAAAGGAAAAAGACCAAAAAAAAAAAAAAAAAGTGGTGAGAAGTAGCTGTGCTGTCTAGAGCCTGGGTGCTTAGCCTCAGACCCTGGGATCCTATAGTGATAGCAGTAAGTCATCCTCTGTCCGTTTTACCTCTCGCTGGGTCCAGGACAGTTCTGGGTCCCTAGAACGGTGTTGCTACTGTGATACCATCAGGCCACAATGCCATTTTTGAAATTGCCTGCTGCCCTTGCTCCTCCAACAGTCTGGGCCCAGGAAGGGGCATGAGGAGACCCTGATTCCGATGTGGTTTCAAGCTGGGTGCAGCTGTAATAAGCTAGGTTTCTGCTCTCATTCCTGTCAGTAACAGATCTGAAAGCAAGAAGTTTCTAAGTGTCTGTGATGCAGGACCTCATAGCCCCAACTGTTCTCGTTAAACTTATGCATTTATGTATTTTGTAGTCGCCTAAATTTATACTATGTTCTCGTATTTCCATGCTCATGAAAGGTGGAGGCAAAGGTTCTGAGAATTCAAAGATGTGTAGAGATGCTCCTCAGTGGAGGAAGGCTTCCCAAACACCGGATGAACTGCTGTGTATTACAAAGAACAATGCAAAGAATTTCTGAACATACTTTATGTGACACATGTGCTCATAGATGATGTTTGGGAGAACAGCCATAGAGGTTTAAATTTTGAGAAAAATGAAGGAGATATAAATGTGTCATCAAGGGCTGGGGAAAGTGTGTTTGCTAAGGACAAAATCCAGAAAGGGCTTCCTTTTAAATTCTCATTGAAAAATGCCTAACTGTAGTCATTTGCATGAACATATACACGTGATATCCTTCTGAATGGAAAGGAATATGGGTGTCATCTCTGAATTAAGAGGTGATTTAATAGCTTGGTTGATCATATACATTGTTGAAGTATGGAAAGGCTCTGCAATGGACTTTACTAAGTGGTTAAAGGAGATACCATAAATTAAAATTGTGCGGAGATATCAATAGTTTAGTCATGAAGGGTTTTCTGCTTAGGGTGGATCAGACGAGCATGGAAAGGATGTGGAAGTGACTGGCAGGACGCATTGTGCCAATAGCAGGACATGAAACAGAGAGTATTGAAAGTCAGGTAGTTCTTAGGGTAAGCATGAAGATAAAGTTGGTTTATGATTTCTTCCTTGAGGTGAAAAACACCAGCTCTGGTAAAAATCAGTATTCCACATCCTTGTCAACCCATGAATTCTGTGTTCTTCACTTGACATCTAATTTTGATTATCTCTAATTATGACCCAGTGTCATGAAGGTGAAATTTGAATTTTTTTGTAACAGGGATTGAACTCATGATCTCAAGCTTGCTAGGTAGGTGTTCATGCTGCTGAGCTAAATACCCAGCTCTGAAAGTGTTTTCTGTATACTCTGTATGATATCAACATTGTTCCTCAGAAAATGTTGAATATTGTGGAATTTTTCTATATTGTATGGATATAATTTTTAAAGCAAACCAAAGGTGTCGTGTGCAGTCACATTTCAAGTTTCACATTGTCTGTGGGGTGTCTCAGTCAGGGTTTCTATAGTTGAGACACCTCTGGAAATTAGGCTAGCCCCAAACTCAAGGAAGTTCTCCTGCATTAGCCTCCCAAGACATATTTGTTACATCTGAATGGAGAGTAATCACTTGGTGGCACTGAGCTATAATTTGAAACTTATACGTGGTTTCATTTTTTATACATTTTTTACATACAGCAGTTTTCCATGGACATTTGAGTTATTATTTATGTATCATATTTGACGTGATTTATGTTTTGTTCTATGAAACCAAATTAAAATATCAAAATGCTACTTAAGTATATTAAGAACAAAGGACTCAGTGGCCTAAATGAGATTTGAAGAGATATCATTGTTAGTACATCAAAGTGATTCATGAGATATTTGTCCACCTCTGTGCTTTATGGATGCTGGTCTTGCAGGCTCTCACTATGAGCTCTGCTGTAGAGACAGTGCACAGTGACTCTTGCAGTGACTCAGCATAAGAATCAGTACTCCTATTTGGCTGTTACATTAGCTGTGAGTTGCAATAGAGCATTAAATTTGCTGTCTCAAAATATGTGTATATACAAAAATTAATCCCCAAAACATGGAATTAAGATTTGAAGAAATCAGTCTCCATTCAGCTGTTTTGCTTGGTTTTATTTGTTTAGCTTAGTTTAGTTTTGTTTTATTGAGACAAGTTTTCTCTATGTATATCAGCTAGTTTTGAACCCTTTATGGAGTTCAGAATTGCCCTAACCTCAAAGCAACACTCCTGTCTCAGCGTCTTAAGGGTGGGATTATAGATATGTGTCTTTTTACCCTAGAAAATATTGAGGCTTGTAACTTAGCTGTGTTGTAGGTTGACATAATACATGCCATCTTGAGCTTTGCCTTTAACTAGTGCCCTGTATTTCACTCAGAAGAATGGAAAATCACACAGGGTATAAGTCCCAGGAGAAAAGCAAAATGAGCTGTACCCAAAGAAAAAAATTAACCTGCTCAACAAAAGAAGCAGAATACCTTTGTCATCCAAAATTTATTATAAAAATTCTAGCTACATGATTTCCAACAGGGTCTTTTTGTGATTTTATCTTTTAAAACATCTCTAACTTTCCAGTTCAGAGCGTCTTTTTTAGATCCTCAAATGGGGGTAGGGTTTCTGTATACAAGTGGTCCTGAGACCTGCTAATGAAATTCCACATTTCTCAATTGGGTTGCTTGGTTTCCTATATTATTGTTCACAAACTCAACTCAAGCTGCAGAAACCTTACTGACACAAGCAAACACCAGGATTAAATGACAGTGGCACTGAAATGAAAGAAAAGTAGTGAAAAGGGGAGGAGAAAAAAGACAAATGCCATGTGGTATAATGCCCACCTCTTTTCCCCAGCAATGAAGAAGCTCAAACAGGACAATGGCCATATATTCAAAGACGTCTAACTTACATAGTGAGTGCAAGGCTGGCCAGAACTCCAAAGAGAGACTATGTCTTTAAATCAAAAATTAAATGAAAAAATTAAAAAAGCCAAGGAGACAGAAAAAGTATTAAAAAAAAACAATAATAGAGCTGAGTGAAAGTTGACTTATGTAAAATGAGAATTATTGAATGATGCTGCAGAGGAAAGAAGGCCATGTACAGGTATCCAGGAGATAGTGACAAACACAGACATTGGAATGGCACCTATTGTGCTACAGGACAACAGTGACCTCCTTCCTCCAAAACATTTGCAGTTCACTAGACTGAGGACTTCTAAAAGCTCATGGAAATGTGAAACTCATGGCAAACAAGCAGCTTGAAATTCAGGCTTTGGAACATCGCCTTTAGCAGACATTTCATATTTAAATTGAAATAAGAGAAATATAACCCTGCCCTGCTTGCTGTCAAATGTGCAAGATTGAGAAATGAAGTCACAAAATGAAGTTCAAAAATTTTCTTAGAAAAAAAGAGAGAAGAATAGCCCTGAATTTTCAGGAGTGGTCTTCGGTGTTTTGGCCACAGACCTATTGTCAGGAATCATTTATACAAGAAAGTCACAATGTGGGTACAGTGTCGGTCTCAGACTATAATCAACCTATAAGCTTATAGCTGCTTAACTAATATTATTGATCAGGGGAACAAATCAGCCAGAAAAGGTATGTGGAAAGTGCCAAGGCATTTTGTGGGAACAATAGGCCAGTTGTTTTGGTCATTGAGTATGTTAATTGATGCACATCTGAACTTCCTGGAGGAAGTGGTGGTAACTGTAGTACATTTCAAGGTGTTGTTTTTCTCTTCAGGAGCATGTAGACATGGTCACTGCATCTTCACCTTCAGGTCTGCCTTTCTAAAGTGGCGTCTGTAGCAGTGATTGTTGTATTTAGTTTTTTGCATTGACTCTTTGAGGTTCCATTTCCTCTCTGATTGTATATCTATTTCTGTCTATATTGACATCCTTTGCTAAAATCACAATACTATTTGAATGGACAAGGTGATGTTTATACATTTAAAAATATTCATTAATACAGGCCAGGGCTTTATCTCAGCAGGCAGAAACGCCTTCCTGGGAAGTGCTAGGTTGTAACTTTGATCCGTGGTACCTAAAAAAAATTTAATATAAATTGCAAGGAAAGAAAATAATTTCATTTGTGAAAATGTAGGTTTACAAAGTCTATAACTAAATAGGTCAACGGCAAATTAAACCTTGTTAATAGTTATATGTAGTATCTAAAGTTGTTGGGGCTGGGGATTGAGCTCAGTGACACAAGCAGCTACCTGGAGAGCCAAAGGTTGTGAGTGCAAACCCTCATACAAAAAAATATCACAGTTTTCAAGATGCAGGGCTATGAGCACATTTATTGAAACTGATATGTGTTAATTAATAGGCTCAGTGTTTCTTTTGTGGTCTAAGAAATACCTGAAGATAACATGGCAATTACAGTGAATGACGTACTGTCCCCTATAAGATTGCTATTTTCTGAGTTGTTTTTATTTTTTGTTTTCCCACATACTTGAAAGTTGAAAATGTTGGCTGATGCTGGGTCAAAAAACTGTGATAATCATTTTTTCAATTTAATGGTATATTTCCCTATATCCATTAAGAACATTTTATTTGCTACAATTACTCCAAGTCAAAGTGGTAAACAATTCTTAAAGTTACAGGCAGCTGAGTTAGTTAGAAATACAGGCAGCCACACCATGATACAGTGGAATGAAACTCCTGACCTTATATGTCTGGTATGAGTTTGTGTTCTCTAAAATGCAAGAATGAATTTTAGGAACAACAGAGTTGGAGAGCAGAATATATTTATTGAGAGAATAAAGTGAAAGTATTTTTCTCTAAATAGGATATTTTGGAAGTGGGAGGTGGA